TCCAAAGGATCGTAGTTTTTTTTTTGAAATCTAAATATAATTAATTGATCATTAAGTCGTACAATCATACAGAAATGGCATCTAAATATAATTAAAAGTTATATATTCATACTTATGCCTTAAATTGAGGTTGTACAGAACAAATACAGATCATTAAGCCTTTGATGCTCTAAATGATTTTTTCTCTTGGTATGAATTTGTTCAAATATACTCTAATTTCTTCACATCTAGAAGATGAAGATGTTTGACTAAGAATTCTAACAGCTAATTTCTATAAATTTAGCGCACTTGATCCGAACATCTTCCACCATTCATCTATAAAAAGATAAATATTAGTTAATTAATATATGATATACAAGAAAGACTAATTGCATTCTAACATATTTGTTTCACTTACCAGGTTGCATTTCTTTGGCCATCGTTAAAGCAATTAGTTTGCCAAAGCTTTCCAAATTATCACGAAAAAGCTTAACTTCATTTATTGTTGCTGATGGTTTAGGACATATATCTTTATTTCCAATCAGTTCAATTAAACCTTGCATCACTTCAGATTTGTTGCAAAAATTATTTTTATCATATTAAAAATGTGAATTAAGAAAATAAACTGCACAATGTATGCATTGTCTTAGCTGACTATCTCATATCCTCTTTATAATGCTTGTGTAAGGTTTGTACAACCTTTTGGCATTTCTAAACATTAACTTGATTGCTATCCTTCCTCTGTACTTTCCATCATAAAGAAATCCCATAGATGGTTTTTCATCAGAATCCACAATTCTCAATAATCGAATTAAAGGCCTAGTCAATTTGGAACTTACTTAGCAGTTATTCCAAAATTTATTATCCAAAATTATGGATGATACTTCTTACCATTTTACTGTTTTGGAGAGCTTTGAATCAAAGAAAGCTTTGCTTGTTATGAAAGCCTATAAATCAAGCTTGTGTTCATATATACTTTTCAAAATTATAAAAGTTGTAACAAATCTAATAGCTCCAGACCTTATAATTTCTTTCCAACCTTCTCTTTTTCTTAGTCAATCTAGAATAAAGACATGATTGTAAACAAAAACTGTAACTTTTGAAGCTCTTTTTGCAAGATCTTGAATATAAGTCATGTTCCCAAAATTTTTAAGAATAAGATTTAAACAGTAAGCAGAACATGTAGACCAATAAATGTTGTCAAACCTTTCATGCAATAATTAAACTGTCTTTTTATAATTTGTAGTATTATCTATTACAAGCTGCACAACATTTTATGGCCCCACTCATTCAATAATTTCACAAAATAATGAACATAATGTTTTGACATCCTTTCTAATATCAGAAGCATCCACAGATTTTAAGAATGCTACACCCCTTAGACAATAAAGAAGAAAATTAATCAAGGTTCTATTCTTGTTATATGTCCAACCATCTACCATGAGTGTGCAACCAATTTCTTTCCAAGATCTTCTATATGATTATATTAACAGTTTACATTCCTCTTTATAATATTGTAGAAGATTAACTCTCAATTTATGATAGGATGACAACTTATAGCCAGGATCAATTCCAGCTACAACATCAACATCTTTCTATGCAAAAGCAAAGTTTATGACATTAAATGTGATGCAACTGTCATAAAATCATCTCCCAACTACCAAATCAGCATGATGTATGGCTTCTTTAGATTCCATTACACTTTTTAATGATGATTGAGAATCAGGTTTAGTTCTTGGTACAAAAAAGTTATCTATATCATCTTTCTTTCTCTTCCCTTTATCAAGTCCTTCATGATGTGCATCAGAGGCTTGTGACTTGCGAAGTGATGAAGAGGCCCTTTCCTCATACATATGTTCATCAACAAACACTGTCATGTTTTGCTCTAACTCCTCCTGGGTTTGTTATTTTTTCTTGCCTATTTCTCTTAGATTCTCTTGCATCTGATGATGAATGTCATGTGGAACTTTTTTGCACGAAGCTATGTTACCTCTTATCCCTGTTAGATGTTGTTTTATCCTATTAATTCCCCCACCTTTGTAAATAATCATACAATGTAGGCATCTATATTATTTTTTTCCATCTGAACATTTACTTTCACTACAATGACTCCAAGCAATATCGCTCTTTTCACACACACTATGAGACAAAAATGTTGGTTGATCCATTCTGGATTAACAAAAAAATTCAATTATCATCATAATCTATAATAAATCTCCCATAAGTCCATAATTAAATTGGCCTGAAATCTTCAATCTTTAAAATTTTTGAACTGAATATTCATCTGGAGTAAACAAAAAAATCAATATGGCCATAACTAAATCCATAACTAGATGCCAGTTCAGCTAAAATAACACAACAATTAAACTACACACATATATAGAACCAACAGGATAATATGCGCATCATCTTAAAGAATTGAAGATGAAGAAGATAATTGCAAGTAACAAGAAAATAGGTTGTCATAGCTTATTACTGTAGATGAATGGGATATGCATGTTGGAGTTAAATTTAATGACAAAAGAGTAAGGAACTAAAGTGATGATGTAATGTTCTATGTGATGAACAATAATCAGTAGAACATAATCAGCATAGCAAGGGTCGGTTAATTCATCCTAAAACCTTCAAACTTAATATAAATGAAATGATTTTTATGGTAGGGAAGAGACATAACAACATAAAGAATATGATTGAAGTGCTGAAACAAACTAAACAAATCATACCATGCATAAGTGGAGAAGAAATGCAAGCATATCAAGATGATTTGGAGAAGAAATGCAATCTTAAATGTGTAAAAAATTACCAAAAAAACAGAAATTCAAGAACCTGCATTGGGATCATCCTAGCTCAACGCGTCGGGTAGGCGGCCAAACGTGACTTCTTCCCCAACGTGGTGTTCGCCGGCTGCTGGGAGGTCGGACGACAACTTTTTGGATGATGGACTGAGGGAGAAGAACTAGAAATGTCGCGTTCGCGTATCTGCGTATGGAGTCCGGAGTCGTTGCGTTTGCATATGCTAGGGTAGACGAGCGACCTAATACCGATACCAAATGTATTTACGTCGTTCGATCGGAGATCAAGGGCTCAAATTACAGCTTTTACGGACCGGCCGGTCTTCCATAACCTCCCGATTCAGCGGTTAACCGGTTCAACCGATTTTTACCCGGTTATTAAATCATCCGGTTCCTTACTCTTTCAGGACCGCCTGCCAGACCGGTTCGCGGTTGAATCGGCCTGTACGGTCCGATTTTGAAAACATTGGCAATTATTTGACATATGTCATCATTTAATAGTTATTGTTAACCTCTACTTATTTCAATCTATTCTTCAATCATCACACAGACTATATACTTATAATTTTGAATTTCATATTATATTACAACTTTTCTCATTTAAGTGAATGATGAATTTTCATAATTCAAGGCTATAACTAGTAAAACTATTTAATTGAGAGAGTTGAGTGATAATCTTAAATTAAATTAGTTGGGATAGGATTTAGTGTATTTAGTGTTTGATTGGAGGAGAGATTATTAAGCAGGGGCGGAGCCAAGATTTTTTTTATGTGGGGGCACAAATTATTAAATTTTAAAACAAAACTCAACATTTTTCATTCGGGCTTGGTCCCAAAATAGACGATTTTTAATAAAAAATTAGATTGTAAGACTCAGTATATAAAGATATAGTATATGATAAAAGAAAAAAAAAACTTGCAATTAAGAATGTTACATCCTTAAATTCTTCTTATATATTATCAATAATTTCTCTTGCTAAGTTTTCATTTTTTTAAATAATTGTACAATCATTTTATTTTTAATACTATTAAATATATATTTTTCAATATAAGTAGACAATCATTCATCCAGAAGTCTCCCATATGCTTGCGTAAACGATTTTTTATAATGTTCATTGAAGAAAATGACATTCTACAATTACTGTAACAATTGACAATATCAGAGCAAGTTTTATATGTATTATTATTTATCAAGAGCGAAAAAAATGAATCATTTTTTAATTTTAAAAAAAGTTTCACATTAACAAAAACTAAATGATGCTTATAAAATAGAAATAATTGATTTAAGGAAAGCCAAATTGCATTTATTTAATGAAGCGTTTATTTGAGTCCGTATCTTTTGAATATTTATAATAATATTTTATAAGTAAAAAATTAAACAGGCAATTAAAAAATCAAATAGCTACATTAATGTCTTTTTTATTTATTGGAACCGATTTTATTCTAACATAAGAGAGGATAATGATTCACTTTTTAAGCAGATATTTCCGCACACAGCTCTCTTTGATTTATTAGTTGAGAGTTTAGACTTCCAACTAAGTGGTCTAGGGTTCGAGTCTATGTGTATGCGTTGTGTCTAAATGACCTAAATATATAAAAAAAATAGATATTTCCCGAAAACAATTTAAATTAAAAAAAAAAAACATATAAAGCGTTATATAAAATAAGAATCCATACATACTATTAAACATATCTCTTTTTTTTTCCAAGATAAAAAAAATGATTAATTCCCAAAAAAAGGGGGTAAAGCTGTATATGAAATACTAATAAATGCAGGCTATTAAACAAATCTCTTTTTCTGGAGAGAGGGAGAGGCTCCGCACTTTGGAATCTGGATGACCACAACCGACAGTGAAAAAATAGAAGCAATAGAAAGATGAGCATGGAACGGGGAATGGCGGAAGATTAACAGCTTTTTTTTCCTTATTTAAGAATTATCATAATTTTTTTTGAAATCATAATTAATCTTAATTAAGTATTACTTAGGCGGTCAGTGGGGGGCCGTGCCCCCATGGCCCCCATGCTGAATACGCCCTTGTTATTAAGTGCGGACATCGAACACATCCGGAGGCGAATGAGAAAATATCACGTCATGCAATGCACTATATATTAAGTGTTGTAATGCATTCTTATTCATCTCCAGATATATTTGATATCCGCACATAATAATTTTTCTTATTGGAGAGTTAATACTTGATGTACCAAACTTCCAACTTGTTATTTAAGTTATTATAGCGCACCAAAATTAGCAGCTGAGTGTGTCCCACGCCTCTCAAGGTGCTATCTTGACTGCGCACCCGGGAGAAGATAAGTTTTTTAATTTCTACGGCGGCGGTGGTGGCGGCAATTGCCCGTGAATCTTGGCTGGAACCTTAGCACCGTTGCAAGCTTAGCGATGGCTTCTCCGGAAAACCCTAATTGGCTTCTGGACTGCCCTCTAATAGACGATTTGTCCGCGCCTCCAGCGAACGGATTCATCTGGGCGCCCCAGGAATTCAACCATCAATCTAAAGTTCGACCTCCGTTCTCAACCCATGAGGGATATGTCAGGTGAGATGGTGCTTGGATTATTTCCGAAGATGATCGTTCTTGTTTGGTACAAGAATCGGTTTATTTGTTTGTTGTTCTTTGTTTTTCAAAGTTTAATTTTTTCTTGATTAATGATGATGTTCGGTCATGTTTCCTTTTGGTTGCTGCTTCAGTTGCTTCTATAATCGGATTTATTTGCTTTTATTGTTCATTTAAGGTAAAATGATGACTTTGTGGTTCATTTGGTTGTTTGTATTTTACATCGCCATTTGAAATTCGTGATTTTTTTAACGTATTAGTTGGAAAGTGGAGTTCTGGTTATGAGATTGATTCATTTTTTTATGTGCTTCGTGTTTTTCTGACTTAAAACACGATTCCTTCAGAGAGGATGCTTGCACGATATGATGGTTTAGTTTATATGATTTTTTTTTTTTAAAATACCCAGCTGCGCTTGCCTGTGAAGTTTGTAAGATAGCACCAGCTTTTAGAGAAATTATTATGTGCAGAGACCGAATGGCGAGAATCGTTCGGATTTGCTGCGCTTTTGTAAATATTCAACAAAGGGCAACAAATATGCAATGCTGAATGCACTTTTGCTACCTTTTGCTGAGTATTTGCAAAAACGCATCAAAAGGGCAGCTAAAACACATCAAATATCATACTAATTGAAAATTTACTGTCACTTTTGCAAATACTCAGCAAAAGGACGACAAATATACATTTATAATTGCATATTTGTTATCCTTCTGCTGAGTATTTTGCAAAAATGTAGTTAAAGCGCAACAAATCTGAACGGTTCTTGCCTTCTGGTCTCCGAACATGATAATTTCTCCAGCTTTCAAAAGGAATGTTGTTTGCACCTTTTTTAGTTTGTCCAAGACCCCATAATTGCCATCTTGTTTCCTCGTGCTTAAGTTGGATTCCAAACATGTAAACGTTAAATTGAGAGTGTTGATAAAGAATGTTTTAGAAAGTGATGATTCCTTTGTTCTCTATGTTCTCTAATGTGTGGTAGATGGTGTAGAAGAGTGTTTGGTGGTGCTTATTATCTTGTGACAAGCACGGCTAGATAACTGCATCATGTACTTCTCTTTCTCTGTTGTGAAGAATATGCAAGGTGGATTTGTGGTACATTTCATCATCAACTCTTTTTGTCCACTAACATGTCCACTTTGTGGCAGGTTACTTCACCTGAAATGGAGAAATTATTAGGTGCGAAGTCCGGACGTAGAGATACATTCGGACTCCAATAAAATGTTAACACGTGGAGTGGACATGTAGATATTTAAATGAATTTATTTTTTACTTTTTATATTTAATGTGTCTGCAAAACTTTAAGCCAAGTGCGTCAAAAGCGTAGGTAAAGCGTAGTAAAAAAACGCAACAAAAGAGCATTCAAAGCTCAACTAAAGTGCAACTAAAGCGAAGGTAAAGCGCACAAAAAAGTTCAACCAAAACACACTTCACGTGTCACATTTTAAGTGGATGTCCGGACTTATCTCTACGTCCGGACTCCGCACCTAATAATTTTCCAAATGGAGAGAAATGAGGCACAAGTAATTTCATTTAATATATGAAAGCCCCATGTAAGAATTGAACTATGGCGCAGCAAGCACAAGGCGCTTAATGAGATGCATCAAGGGCACTAACGTGAGGCATTTATGGATTTTAATACAACTTACGATCTTCACTAGTGGTCAGCATGGCTTGATAGGTCTAGTGATTCCAAATCACAGTTTATATGCAAAAGCAATCATAGACTCAAGTTGTTAAAGATATTCTTTTAGTAAGGTAATACTTGTGAACCATTGAGTATATTCAAAAACAATGTGAAATTTGTGTTTTCGTTTGCTTTCCCTTGTCCAAAACACTTGTAGCGCAGAGAAAGGAGAGTTGAAAGCCAGTCTTGGGTATAAAACTATAAATGAGCACCTTTATATTGTAAAGGATTACTTTGAGGACTTTTTAGAAAAATGATGAGGCAATCTACTCGAGGGTGTTGATATCTCCACCCAATAATTTCCATAACAGTCCTTATGGAGGTTTATCCTATACTGTTTTAAGAGTACCAGCAAAATTATTGATCACTTCATTCATTAACAACTCCATCATCCAGCATAATGTGAGGAAGGTAGTGTGCAAAAAGCAGCGTCTTCACCTGACATATTATTAAGAAATTTGCAAACTTAAGATCTTGAGGACAAGTAAATGGAGTTGAATTCATGAAAATATGTAATTTGAAACAAAATTCATAAAAAAGAACTGTATAAGATGAATTGACAAAGCTTATAGACCTTTGTTATGTTAAAAATGGTTTCAAGACTAGTTGTTTTGACAAAGCTTATAGGCCTTTGCTATGCTTAAAATTGGTTTGACAGTAATTCATAATCATGCAATTATGTGATGATATAAGATGCAAATAAAAGAGTTGTTACCATATCTAATAGAATAAAGATAATGGAGTAAAGATGTAGTTCTTTTTAATTCTCTCCTTTCTAAAAATGTATTAGAGCTATGTTATAGAATCATCTTGATTTTCTCTAGATATTTTTTTGTAGATGCCTCGCCTTTGGACTTTTGATTTCTACTAGTTTGCTTTCACATTGCCATATGATTGGGACCCATCTGTTTCATCTTTGTCATTTACCACTAAGTAAGTTGGCTACATCCTCTATTCTTGGTAGATTTGTATATTTTTTAAATCTACTATTGTTCTTCAACAACATTTTTTCTAGTGTCTTTTGTTCTTGCCATGTCGACATCCTATGCTGAAACATCTTTCATCACCATTTTTCGATATCTCTATTTAGGGATCTTATATGTGCCTTTTATGACATGGATCTTTTTGCTGACTAGTTGTGTTTGATTTACATTATGTTCTCTCATTCATATCGATCCACTTTTATTGTGAAATGTTAAAATTTTGGGCAACAAGATCTTTAACTACATAAACTTGGTTACTAATGTTTCCGACCTCAAAAAGATCTTTACCTATGAATGTTATTGCTCTTTTGTTTATACTCTCCTTTTAGTTTGAAAACATCTTGCGATTTCTATTTTGTGAATACATTTTAATTTGTATACTTGTTGCAGTATGGGAGCCAATGACCCTTTTGTGGAAACTGAGACCTTCAAGGAACAAGGATCTCAAAAGCGGTCTTTAATCTATCTCTTTCTCTCTCTCCCCACTCCCCTCCTTCCATCCTATTTGTAGGCACACACAAACATAGATATATATTGGAAGGCTACCATAATTATCACTTTTTACATGCCTTTAACGATATGTAATTAATGTGCATCTCCAAGTTGCAGAGCTAGATCTGAATCCTCCAGTCAAGCTGGATCCAAAGCTTGCAGGGAGAAAATGAGGAGAGATAGACTGAATGACAAGTGTGTTACATCTCTTTGCTTTATTTGAATATATTTAATATTACAATATGATGATGTCTCTAATTTGTTTTCTACTATTCATCGGCATAATTTAATGCTTTCAACTCTGTTTGACGACAAGATTCCTCGAGTTGGGCTCTATTTTGGAGCCTGGTAAACCGCCAAAACTTGACAAAGTAGCTATTCTTTGTGATGCTACTCGAATGGTAACCCAGCTGCGTGCTGACGCTCAAAAACTGAACGATTTAAATCAAACCCTCCAAGATAAGATTAAGGAGCTAAAGGTTGGCCTTACTTTCCTTTTTTTTCCATTTGCATCTTGAATACCTACTTTTGTTTTCTTTTTTGACATAATAACTTGAGAATAGTATATTTATATTTTGTGCTACATTTCGGTGCTTCTTTATATTGATGATGTAGAATTCAACAATTATGTAGCTACTATAAATTACTTTATTTTATTTTCTATTATAAGTGTCACGATCCGGCTCGGAAACTCAAGTTAATGAGACAGGAACAGACAGTTAAATGGTTAATATAGTTCTTTCAATAACATAAATTTGTTATTGTTTAATCACATAAGGGTCACTTGATTGTTTCTTATGGAAGAAAAATCAGAAGCACATCATATCTTTAACAATTTTAACGCCTTATTTAGGCACAATTTCATATAAAAATGAGAAGTGTTTAAAACAGACAATGTAAAAGAATTTTTTGACATATTCTTGATGATTATCTAACAGGTTGAGTATTGACCCACCTCATTGAAATAGAGTAGCTGAGAGAAAAAAAACATACAGCTCTTGGAAGTTGCTCTCTCATGTTTACCACCGATGTCCCTAAACATTTCTAGAATGCAAGTAGTTCTAATAGCTGCATACCTTATAAGCATAATGCTTTCCTGAGTTTTGAACTTTTAAACACCTCGCCAGGTATATTGTTCATACCCCAATACTAGAGTAATATTCACCATCCCCATTAAATCTTTTAGTGCTCTACATCTGTACATTTCTACCTTCAATATCAAAGCAAATTAGATACCAAAGCTTACAATTTTATCTTTGCCGGGCGTTCTCCAAACTAGAAACAGTACAATTGGTACTCTCCAATCACACCAATTCTGATTCCACTTATTTTGAGTTATCCAGTAACAATCTTGATTTTCCCACTTCGTCTAAGAGGTCTGCATTAGCTATCCCATCAATAATTTTATTTCATAAAGTAGATTATCTCCCAGTCTCAATACATTTCCAACCTTGATAAAATGCAAATTCTCAAATCTATTCATGAAGCTATCAATACTCCAGAATGAGAAAAGCTCTGTGAAGAGATTCATGCACTAGAAAAGATTGAGACGAGGGAATTATTTGATTTGTCAACTGGAAAAAGTCTGCTGGGATTCAAGTGGATCTTTACAGTTAAACAACATGAAGATGGAAGCTTGAATAGATGTAAGACCTAACTTATAACAAAAAGTTTCACTCAATCCTATTAAATTAATTACCAAGAAATATTTGCTATTATGGTCAAGTTGAATACAATTCAATATTAGTATCACTTCCCTCAAATTTAAATTGTCCATTATATCAATTAATGAGAAGAATGAATCTCTAAATGGGGATTTGAAAAAGGATGTCTATATGGAGATTCATTCAGGATTTTTCACGCAAGTTAGTGCCAACGAGCTCTATAAATTTAAGAAATCTTTGTATGGGCTCCAACTGTCCTTTGGAAAATGATTTGTCGGAGTCACTAAGGCATGAGAAAACTTTGGTTATTCTCAACTTAAAGTGGATCATATTATGTTTGCCAAGCATTCACTTACGCAGAAGATGATTATACTTATTGTATATGCTATTGGTACATTTTAACTAGGCACATGAGGTAGAAATCTTCCAAGCGAAGAAAATCTTCGTCAAAGAATTTGAGACCAAAGATCTGTGTAATCTCAAATATTTTATTGGAATGGAAGTGGCTCTGTAAGGAAAATAGTTTGTATCTCAGTGAATAGTTTTGGATCTTCTCAAAGAAATGGGAGTGCTTGGTGCAAACCCACAGAAACAACTATTGACACTTCAATCAAAAGTGGAAACAAGAATGATAGTACTCCTATGGATAAAGAGAGATATTAAAAGCTAGTCGGAAAATCAATTGACTTTTCACAAGCTAGACTATATATCAACTTTTTTGTCAGTGTGACAAGTTAATTTATGAATAATTTGACCAAAAAACACATGGAAGCTATGCTTAGAATATTGAGATACTTAAAAGATAACACCAATCAAAGGATTATTATATGAGAAGACGTCTAGAAGCAAGATTGAAGTATTTATTGATGCATGTTTGATTGGTTCTATGACTGATTGTGGATCAACTACTTCATACTTTACCCATGTGGGGAAATATGGTGTCTTAATGAAGCAAAAAAAAAATCTATGGTGGCCTATAGTTGTGTAAAAGTATACTTTTGAGCTATTGCTCATGATATTTGTAAAGGTGTGTGGCTAAAAAGAATACACGAAGAACATAGGATACCTATTACAAGACTAATGATGGTGTATTGTGACAATTAATTTGCTTTCAGCATTGTAAAGAATCTCTTTCACCGTAAAAAAAACAAAACATATGAAAATGAATCAACTTTCATTGAAAAGAAAAAGGAATCAGGAGTGATCTCTTTTACACACATTAGTTGGTCAACAAATTATAGATATTCTTACTAAAGCTCTATCAAGAAAGAGTTTTGAAGACTTCAATCTCAAGCTAGGCCTAATTGATATTTACAATCAAGGTTGAGGGGGAGTATAGAATTCAATTATTCTGTAGTTGTTATAAATTAGTTCATTTTGTTTAGCAGAATAAGTGATTCAGGTATTATGTTAACCAAAGGATGTGTGGATCCTTGATAAATGTATTGATAGATGGCCAACCTTTGTGACTGATCTACAAGAGGAACAAAAAAGTTTATAGTATTTTATACAAGATGGTAGATGGAATGTACCAAATCTGCAGCAGGTTTTCAGTACATAACTGATTGAGCTTATATGCTCTGTTCCAATTCAAACCGGAATTACTAAAGATGAAGTGGAAATTTCATTCAAGTATTCTGGGAAATCTTTGTCAGCTCTGATCTCTGAACAAAAAAGCAACAATGAAGAGGAGAATGCAAATTGGAAATGGTTAAAGAAACTTAAACTCAGGCCAAGGATTGAACATTTTTGGTGGAGATTGATCCACAAGGCTATTCCATGTAATGAGTTTCTAATGTATAGAAGACTCATTAATCATAATGGCTGTCCGAGTGGATGCAACAAAGTTGAAATGCGGAGCATATTGCAGTTAATTGCTATTTTATCAATGAAGTTATAAAAACTATAAACAAATGGTGATTTAATATCCCGATTTTTCAAGATTTGAACTGCTGCATTAAGGAATTGACAGGCATATCAAATTCAAACATCTTCTTGGGGAACTTATATTGTTCCGTTATTTTCCATTCTTGGAAAAGTAGGAATAAGCTGGTTCATGGAGATAAAGAGGATAGCTATAATATTGTAGCAGCTAATGCATTACCTTTCACGTCATCTTCAATCAATTATGATCTCATTACGGTCAACTGGGATTCTAATCAGCTTAGGCTGTTTTCTTCAACTTGGAATCCCCCTCCAACCGAATGGATCAAACTAAATGTGGATGCATCTCTTCGAGAAAATTATGCTGCAGGAGTTGGAGGAGTTTTAAGAGATTGCAAAGGCAGATTTTTATTTGCTTTTGGATTCAAACGTATGCATTGGGATTGTTCAACTTTAGAAGTGGAAGCTGTAATCTCTTTCAATAAAGTAATACAAGAATGGATGTTTGAAGCAAAAGGAATCATTATTGAAGGAGACAATTATAATGTCTTGAAGTTCATTCAGAATACTATCAAGGAAGGAGTTCAAGGAGGTAATAATGCTAGCTTTGATGATTTCTTTTTTCTTAGAAATTTTAATCAAGTCATTATTCAATTTGTGAATAGGGGTTATAATAAGTTAGCCGATTGTTGTGCTAACTATGCTAGCTTTACTGATTTTGTTTGGGATAGTTTGGATAACAATCACATTCCTCTTCTTTTCTTTAATATATTAAAGGAGGAATGTGATAGAACCAACTTCACTTAGACTTCTTTTATCTTTCTTTTCTCTTAATAATATTGCTTTATGCATTTCCTCAAAAAAAAGGTATTATGTTAACCAATTATTTGTTATTCCTTTCATTTTTTGGTATAGCTAATTAGGGAATAGTTTTCTTGATTCGAGGAATAAGATTTTCTCCTCTCTTCTATTTAGTTTGTACAATTTTTGTCATTAGAATAATGTAAATAAGACTGATTATTCTCTCAAAATTCTGCATAGGAAAATCTTTCTTAATTTTTTTATTTGCATGATAGCAATTTGAATAACCGTAGAAAAATTGCCTTATTTGTTACAACAACAACAAGCCTTTATCAAATGTGGGGTTAACTACATAAATCTTTTTTTCTTTTGTATCCTATTAAAATTCAAATTCTCTTTTAAATCTAATAAAAAAGATCATTTTTATTACTTTTTAATCAAGTCTTTTTAGATCTTTATCTACCTTTCTTAACATAAGATGGGTCTAATACATCAACTCTCTTAACAAGGTCATCGGAAGACCGACGTTTTATGTGACCAAAGTACCAAACTATTTAAGGCGACTCTCTAATTTTATGTCACTATAGCTATTTGAAAATTCTCTCGTATATACTTATTTTGCATTCCATCTCTAAGTATAAAGCTACTCATCTACCTGAGCATCTTCATAAACATCCAACTGCAACTAATGCTTTATTTTTCCAGTGACAATTTTAATATCACCTATGTACTTATATGTCTTCCAAAACTTTATCAAGAGGTTTACTAATACTGACGCTGTTGAAGAATTTGTTTTGGTAGAAACACTCTTACCTCCACTAGTTATCCATTATTTGCTGATATTTTTTTGTAGATTTGATTCATTTCCTTAGCTTATTTGAAAGAAGAAGAACTAAGGTTTCCCAGACTATCAGAAAAATTGTCACATATTCTGCATTTATGTAGTTACCTTTTGCTTGATAAAAAATACACCACTCCCTGTTCTGAGAGAAAAATAGAAGCAGTATTGACCATAAACATTTGTTGAAACACTTCTACAGGCTGAAAAGATCGAGCTGCGTGATGAGAAGCAACGCCTGAAGACCGAGAAAGAGAGCTTGGAGCAGCAAGCGAAGTTTCTGAATGCTCCAAGGCCAAGCTTCATTCCTCACCCTTCTCTGATTCCTACTGCCTTTAGTGCTCCAGGAAAAAATCCAGGCCAGAAGTTAATGATGCCAGTTATGGGGTATCCTGGGTTCCCTATGTGGCAGTTCATGCATCCTTCTGATGTTGATACCTCACAGGATGCTGAATCATGTCCTCCAGTTGCTTAAGGGATCTATTTGGAATCCTTTCATGTTTCTTTTGCTAACAACTTTAGAACTAATTTTTGTACTATCAATCAAGCTTTTGATTGCAGAATCTTGACTGGAGGTGATGTATTTTGGATGTTTATGAAGTATTTACTCAGTACCCAGGAATCATATTTAAATGTTCAACAAACAAAAAATTCGAAGTATCTAGAAGCTTGAACAATATCTGTGGTTTAAAGAATATTTACCAATAATGAATGTATATATCTTTGTGTTCCCAATAAGAATTCATGCAAAGCTGGTTGAGAGCTATTATATTTGGTAATATACAAGTATCTGCTTCTCATTTTTCTATATTGTTGAAACAAAATCTTGACATTAGTTGTGAGATACGCAGTTTTCTTTTCTTGGAACATAGATAGATGATAAAGTTGCAGATAGTCATGCTTTTTTGAAGTGAATTTTGATCATTTTTTATTGTTCAGTATAAAATCACTGTCAAATAAATGCTTAAAAGCATTTTCAAGTTCCAAAAACTTGCCTGAAAACAAAATAGCCTTTGCAGTAAAATATGAAAATGGAACCTGAAATTAATATTTAAATGACTAAAACAACAAAGTTAATGTAAAAAAATAAATGTTAGAATTTTTATTAATTCTTGATCCAGCACTATCCTTTAGCAGTGCTTTCATCCTTTGGAGAATCGAACATATCTCGATGCAAAGCTCAAGTTTTGCACTTCAAAACGTAAATAAAGAACTAATAATCTTCTTTGAATAAAATAATTGTTCCACAAGAGAGCAAGATCTGAAAATCGCGTTAGAAGCGGGAGAGCTCAGGTTTATGCAACAGCAATGAAGATGCTAGGAAAAGGAGTCGTTATCTAGAGGAGTCTCACAGTTGGCTTGGCTTGCATTGCGATGGAGACAACAATGCTAAATCTGGTTTCAGTGAGGATCGGTAGCACTAGATAGATCCAAATGCTTGTATTTGTTCTGTATGTTACTCAGAATTATTATGTATTGATGTGTATGCACCGTTTTAGCTTTGATTGTGATGACGGCCAATGACCTGATGGGAATTGTGATGATGATTTCATAGAGATAGTGTCATTAAATGAGTTTTCATTGATATGTGATGAAGCAATGATGAAGCTCATTTTTCAATTGAATGACACGCAAGTAGTTAGTGGATTGTAGATGACACTCAATAGTCTTCCAGGTATCTAAGCAAGAGTCAAGGTTCAAGATGTAAGGCGTGATAGAGGATTGTTACTATATTTTGATCAACCATCATTCAAATGTTGTAGAGAAGGTTATGAGAGTTGTCTGTGAAATCGGTAGTTATTCTATTCGGAGTGACATTGGATCAATCTAGAAATTTTGTCGAATCCATCAGCCTTGAATATTTTGAGTAATTGAGATTGTAACATTGGGTAGTTGTCACTTGTGAGTTGGGTGCAGACTATGTGCTTGATGTTGGGAATTAGAAACTTGAGAGAGGAGGGAATATTGCCATCATCCATATTAAGGGAGATGATAGTTTTGAAGAGAGGAGGAAGGCTGTTCCATTGAGGAGAAAGCCAGAGTCTCGGAAAAGAGAGTCTGATACTATAAAGAGGTATAGAAACGGATTGTAGAGGATAAGAGTAGAAAACTAGGAATACAGAGAAGATAAAACGAGAGTGAAGACCAAGGAAGTCTTTATATTCCCAATTATTATCGACCCATACAGTTAATAGATATATATATATATATATATTGTAACGGTTGTGATCATTTGGTTTGTTTACATTGCTAGCCGCTAGATTGTGATTAACTGGCAGAGAAGCCCGCGTGCAGACTTCGTTTATTCCATTATTTGGTCCAGAAAGTGCGGTGCCACAGAGACTTCGTTTGGGACGGCTTTTTTACTGCTTCTTAAAATAGCTTTTTAGTACAAAATTAAAATTTTTGTACTAAAAAACGGTTTTAAGAAGCAGTAAGAAAACGTCCCAAATGAAGCCTGAATGTGGCTGTCTGCACTAATTAATATTCCTTCCCTTGAAATCAGGGATTCAGGATAATTCACGAAGCACAACATATATTTTTTGATCCATTTGGAACCATCCCAACATTTTCATTAAAAGATTAGGACTCCAAAACAGCGCCCTTAATTACTTAATCTTCTCACCTGATGAGACAAATTCAGTATCAGGTTTGTCAGGTTTTGGACTTGATGCTAGTGGGGAAAGCAATGGAGTAGTCATGGAGAAGGAGGTGCATCGGTGTATAAATTACAAGTTATACACCCCTAATTACTTAATTTAATATTTTATAAATATTATCTGTATTTATGTTGCTTTAATTTTGCATAAAAATTTATATAATGTTTATTTAACTATTTTACTTTGAAGATAATATTATTGCTTATGAATTCTTCATGTTAGCAATGTTTCATGAAGCATTCCTTAGTACACATTAAACATAATAGTGTGAATTTTGTGGTGAAGTTGAAAATAGTGGTTACCAAACCCAAGCAAAAATGAGATTGGCTGAGGATTACTATCACGGCGATGGACAATGATTAAACAGGTATGAAAAGTCAACACCAAAAAATTGAAATAAGGCTAATATGATGATGATACCGAGGTGAAGCTGAAATTGGTCGGCACAAAATCTAAGCCCAATCCACTAGTCTTGTTAGATTAAGGATTATTTTGGGACAGCTTTCTTACTGCTTCATAAAACAACTTTTTAGTACAAAAATATATATTTTTTACTAGAAAGTTTCTTTTAAAAAGCAGTAAGAAAGCCGTCCCAAGCGAAGCCTGAAAATTATGAGAACAAAATAGGACCAACCCATCAGACATCAGTTATGATACATTGTAATTAAACAGTAATTTTGGTACGTTTTGTGAATGATAACTAAAATAACACATAAATTAAATGATGAGTTGATGATTAGTGCCTGGACAATAATTAATCCACGTATAGAACTTGAACAATAAAATGGTCACATTGGTATGAATGAATTCTAACTAATCAGTTGATAATGAAGGAATTGGAGTCTAATGAACAAGTTAACCTATAATTAGTAGAGAATTAGTATTTTCTGGTAATTTATCTATGTTAGTGTAAGTATACGGGATTAGATAGTAAATTTCTGCATATTTAATGAGAAACTAAACAGTAACTAATTCATAAGTAATTATGTAAATTAAAAGCCTATTGAGCTAAGTAATCAATTTTTAAAACGGTTTAATTTCCTGATTAATAGAACAAAGTCTCATTACAATTTAGATTTAATAAGTCTAATAGAATCTTCTTGCCGTACAAAAAAAAATTGGATCAATCCCACATAGTTAAACAAGATTAAATTGTCAACTAATGCTTCGTTTGGGACGGTTTTCTTATTGCTTCTTAAAGCAACTTTTTAGTATAAAAATTAAAAATGTTGTACTAAAAAAGGGCTTTAAGAATCAGTAAGAAAGCCGTCCCAAACAAAGCCTAAGATTACTCTAAACCTATTTGCATTAATGCAATTGAAAACTTTAGATTTCTTATATATAGATAGCATTTCAGTCATGAGGATGAAACATTCAACTTTTGAAACTAAAAAGTGCTATACACAACCCTTGAAAAGCATCCAAATATTACGATTAAACAGAAAAAACCAATGTGCAGAAACTGGATATTATTGTCTAACCGGAAATTTATTCTCTAATCTAAGGAAAAATTACAACATGTCATCCTAATTGTATCTCTAGAAAATCATCAATTCATGACCTGTTAACCTAACTACAGGAGAGTAAGGTTGAAACTTGTAAGTTAGTTAAAACCCGAAAATACTAACCTGAATTCAGTTACCAATACTCCGCACAAGAACAAGCCCCATTTTTGAAATGATGAAAGCGGCTTGCATCCCTCACAACAATCTCTCTTCTGGTGACAATACTTACAAGCTTAATTACACAATGGCAGTCATCACAAACCCGGTGACTCTGTAACACTTGCAGAGGGGTGGATTCTGGTGTGTTGAGCAGCCCAAAAGTAATTGCCAATATCTCACTATGGTAACCCAAAATTATCTGATCATGTTCCACCACATCAGGAAATAAACATCTCCTCTGAGGAAGATATCCCTCTTTAACAATCTCCTGCATCAATGCATCAAGCCTCTTATAGATCTCTTTGCTCTGTGGATGGGAATTGTCTCCAAAAAGAAACCTATGGGGTTCTTTCTTTATCTCGATCCAACTACAAGCAGGAACAAGTCTAAGACCTTTCCTCACTAATGAATCTAAAACCTTGGCAGCATCATTCATTCTTCCACTGCTGTTATATAGATTTAGGAGTACAATGTAGTTTCCCAGCTTCTCTGGTTCCATTCCAAGAAGCTTCTCTGCTGCAAGTTTTCCTAGCTCAAGATTCCTGTGAACTCTACAAGCTCTAAACAATGCTGCCCACATGTTCTTAGTTGGGCTTAAAGGAGCATTCCTTATCAGAGCCAAAGCATCATCCAAAAGACCCTCTCTTCCCAGCAGCTCTATCATACAAGCATAGTGCATCGCCCGCGGCTTCATCTTGGGATCATGGGCCATCAATTCAAAGATCTCTCTCCCTTTGCTTAACATTCCGGAATAGCTACAAGCACCCAAAACTGCAAGAAAAGTCACATGGTTTGGAACTATTCCTTCCTTCACCATACTCTCAAACATTGCAACAGCCTCAACTCCCATACCATGATTACCATAACCTCCTATCAAAGCATTCCAAGATACCAAATTTTTGCGAGACATCTTATCAAACACATTCCTTGCGTCATCCATTCTCCCCCATTTGCAATACAAATCAACAAGAGCAGTGCATGCAACCGTATCCATACCAAACCCATTTCTAACCAATCCTGCATGAGCTTGCTTCCCTTGCTCTAGTGAACCTAACCGAGCGCAGATTCTGATGATAATAGAATAAGTAAAGTGATCCATCTTGACATTGGAGTTTTGCATCTCATAGTATACCTTAAGAGCTTCTTCACTATATCCACTTAAAGCATATCCGGCTATTATTGAATTCCAACCCACAACATGCTTGTCAGGCATCGCATCAAACACCATGCGAGCCTCATCAATGCACCCACACTTTCCATACATGTTAATAAGCGCACAAGACACAAATAAGTTATCATATAGGCCAATTTTAAAAGCAAGTGAATGCAACTGGCTGCCAGCAGCAACTGAGGCCAACCCTGCCACAGCTCGTATGGCAGTTGCCAACCCACGGGAGCCAACATCTGATAGATCTTCCCATATAATCAGAAACATCTCAAGCGCTTCATCATAGGACCCTGCATCAACCAGTCCTGAAATAATGGTGTTCCATGACACAAGGTTTTTGTGCGGCATTTCATCGAACAAGCGGCGTGCATGCATTATCATTCCACACTTAAGGTGCATCAAAAGGACCCTATTCATCATATACTGATCAAAATTAAATTCAGACTCAATCATGTGGCGGAAGATGAATCGAGCCACCGTTGCTGACTTGAGGCTGATGCAAGCAGTGACCAGAGAATCGTAAGTGCTAGTGCCAATAGCTTCGAACCTGACACTGCCTTTGCCACCCACTTCCAGAATCTCAAAAAGCTCAATGGCTTCTTTGTACTTCTTCAAGAAGACCAGCCTCTCAATCTGATGACAGAGAGCTGAGGGGTGGGCCTGGGTGATTTGGGTGCTATTGGACTCGTTGGAACCTCGTTCCAGATCCGGAGAATCAGTAACCGGCATGAGTTTCCTCATGGGCCTTGCCTTCAAACCTTGCTCCATTGACGAGCATCGGACGATGAAATATGAGATTTTTCTTTCGTTGTACAGAAGACTATTGCATCCTCGTATGGATGGATCGAATGAATTGGTCTTTTTGTCATTGTAGCCCTCCGAAGTAGCCAACAATGAGTGGAAAGGGGAAGACGAAAGCTTCAAGCTTCCTCTGGATGGCAAGTTCCAAGGAAGGAAGAGGATGGCATCCATTGGAGCACTATTGGCGAGAATATGACGCAAGAATTTAGCTCTTCGAGAGAAATCAGAGCAAGGAGAGACTTACAGGCTTCGGATGAGAAAACCTTGAAGGGTTTTCGCCTACTTCGTAAGCTTGTTATGCTGAGCTTTGGGAGATCCGTCATTTGAGGGCTGTTCCGTGGTGGAGGCGAATTTCTTCTTCGATCGTCCAATATCACTGTTCTACCAAACAATATACTTCTCAGAGACGAGAAATTTTTTTTTAAAAAAATTTACACTTGAATAACTTGATAATGCAAATGAGAGAGAGAAATATTTAAATTTTTTTAAAAGTTTTAAGGAGAGGTCAAAATTAAATTAAAGCTTAAATTATTAAAAAAATCAAATGTATTGATATTATATATACATATATATTATATTTGCTAATTGTTATTTTACCTAACTTAATATTAAGCTTTATCTTATGTTTAAGAAAATAATATAATTTAATAATTTTATTTTGATTTTTTTTGTGGGTATTAAGTTTTGTCTGTAAATATCTTAAAAGCTATTGTCAAAATTCAGAATTTATACTTCAAAACTTAAAATTGTTCAAATGATTTGTTATTTTATATTTCTTAAATGGGAAATAAATGCATTTTCTATTTAAAAGTTAAATTCATAAAAAAATAAAGATGTATGCATATGTTAATCTAATATATCTAATTTAATCTATATGAGATATGCCTTTCAATTAATTCATTGCCTCTTTAATTAATGTACAAAAATTATAAGTATTTTGATGTCTTTGACGTTAAAACCATAATGCACAAAAATTCATAAAAATATAACAACACAAAAGATATTATAAATACTATATTATATGCAACAATAACTTACTCTTGAGTGTCATAATATTAATGACCAATTTTATATTTCAATCATGCACAAAATTTCAGATATACATCTAAAAAATTACATGAACACCACTTTCATAGAACTCTTATTGAGCCAACGGATACAACGATACATCGATATTCCAAGATTGAAAAACGTCGTAATAGCCATGTCTTTTACTTGTTGAGTAAAGGTTGGTTGAACCATTTGTTGAAGATTGACCTGTCAGAATAGTGGGCCGACGGGCTTTCCTTTAAAAAGGGTTTGATGTTATCCTCTATTGATCACGTGATATAACGATTGGGAGTTATAAGGAGCTTATGCCGACGGGCAAGGGTGACGACTTTATTATAGCCAACGGATTACTAACATACTAACCTTGAAAAATATCTTAATAGCCAGTGATTGTACTTGTCGAGTAAGACTACTGTACTGGAATGCATGTGTAAAGTATTGTTCTTATGATCTCATTATGGATTTACTGATTTATCGATATTGACTGATTTATTGATATGGAATTGATTTATGGATTTTGAATGGATTTACTGATATTGAATTGATTTATTGATACTGAATGGCTTTATTGTATGTATTTAAGAGTTTTCTGTCATTGCACGATTTCATTGATATTTCATATTGTATATGTCATTGAATACGGATACCGATATGGATATTGATATTGCATCGATTCATTGATACTACCGTTACCGATACTACTGATTCATTGTACCGATCTTATAGCATGTGATACATCGAATACTTATCGATACATGTGATACATGTGATACACTGACCACGTGATATATAATATGATTTTTACTGTATTGATTGATTTTAATAGTTATTATTGATTTATCGATTTGATTTCAACTGTCCTTACGATGTATTGAATTGATCGTTTTATATGATTTCACACCGACTAATATTATTGACCGAAATGGATTTCTTTATTTAATGATATTATTGATTTTATTGTTGTGATTGATGCGATATTGATTTGACGGATATTTTAGATACGATATTTTCTTTACTAAATTGTGATTTATCTTTACTGTGCGGATTTACTATTACTACACGATTTCACCGTTATAGCATAATCGTTCATGTCGTCACAGGATTGTTACTGATATTGATACATACGCTACTACTACTGATTCATTGTACTGACATTATATACGTGTATAGATTACTGGATTGCATATGATTTATTGAGCAAGTGATATTGAATAACTGGAATTGCAAGTGTATGTTTTGATATAATTCTACTACATTGCTTTGACTAATGTTATAGATAAGACAACTACTGTAGAGATTTAACTCACGTACTGGTTCATTGAGCTTTATGGGATTTTCTAATGTTCACTGATTCTATCACTGATGATTTTGGAATCTATTGTTTATGCATTGATTTTTGTTTATGTACTGATTTCCGTATCTGCATCGACTCAATGATCATGTGCAAGTGATTGATATTAATTTGACTGTTTGACATGCATATTGCTTCTGTATCGTACTTTGATTTCAGTTGTAGGCTTTGGTGACCTGCTGGGCTATTTAAGCACATTATATATGGTTAATGATTTCAGGTGCAGAGCCTCCCGCGTGAAGCTTCTTTCAGACGCTAGTATAGTTTTTCGTAGTTTTTGGTTCATGCATTGTTTTGTAGCTCGATTGGCTATTGTACATGTTCTTTTGGACGCTACTTTTGTATTGTAATTATGAAATGCCTTAATGTGAATTATAATATTTTGATGTATCTATTTTCTTTAATGCAATTATCATTCTGGATGTTTATATGATCTGAGCGAGAAAAGTAAAAAAGAAAGAAAGAAGAAGAAGAAGAAGACTGTCAGAAGAATCCTTTCACTATAGATATATGGGATGTCACACGATGAAGGTCAAAAGGACCGTAGTCGGGTGGCGGAGGTCTAAAGGTCCGTAGTCGACTGACGATAGTGGTCATAAAGACTATTGTCTGGCGATTAAGTGGAATCCCTGGATCAGTTGTTGGATGGGCATAATTTTGGCATAAGTTGGTGGTCGGACTTAAGTCTGGTGCTTGTCAATGACCAAATAGAAGTTCGACGTCCAGTTGATGGCTTGGCAGAAGCCCGATGTCAGTCGTTGGTCGGGCGGAAGTTTGACCTTAGCCGATGGCCGTGCATAAGTCTCGTGTCAATTCGATGATAGTTGGTGGCTGGGAGGTGGTGGACAAGGAGCTTGGTGATAAGAGGAATATCTGATTCCTCTTCCTCTCCTCTCTTACTTTCACCCCCCTTTTTATGAGGAATCAATCCTTATTGTTTTAATTTAATTGCTCAATCTTTTATTGTTTTAATTTAATATATCAATGTAATGCTACAATATCATATTTATAATAAAATTTTGAGTTTTTCTTCTAAATATTAAATTATTGATTTTATTGTATTGTTATTTTTATGAAAAAAATATATGTATTTTTTACAATTATTTACAATTATATATATATATATAATCCTAATTACATGTAATGATATATTTAATAAATTATTTAAAATTGATAATGTAATTGAAATATACATAATACAAATTTTATTTTTAAATTTTTATTTACCTGTGCACGTATATATATTGCACATCCAACGCGGATCACGCGGGACTCCGTCATCTAGGCGGCCCATATTAATCTCTCTCGCAAAAACTGGCCCTAAATCAGTATAGCTCTCGCCAGACGTAAAATCGTTTACAGTCTCGCAACTTGGTTGCAATGGATGCCAGCCCGTGCCCCCTGGACACCAAATACGCCAACCAGATCGCTGCTCTTCTTGCACCTCCGTCGCCACAAGCAATCCAGGCAAACTTTTCATCTTGATCTCATCCTTCAGCTTTCTTATTTGTCTAAACTTCGTTCATTGTTTTTGTTGCTCTTCATGCTAACGACGAACAATGTTCCACGAATTATACTATGTGGATTTTTGGGCATTGCGCTGGATATCACCGCTTTGTTCGTGTAGGTTTTCCTATTTATTGTTTATAGTTCGGGCACCAACTCACTGGATGTTAGATTAAAGATTTGTTTGCTCGGTTTAAGCCCTCTGAATTTTCCCTAATTGATGGGTGGGGGTTGGGGTTGGGCGATGGCTTGACTAATACTTAGATTTGAACAATGCCTCTTGCAATTGTTATCACTTGGAGTATAGTTGTGTCAATTTTCAATATGATGAATTTTTTACTGAAGCTTCCTTGGTCATATCTGAAATTAGCTGGCAAGTTTTCCTTTTTATTGAAATCCGTAGGAAATATCTGATTTTTCTATGGGAAGAATCTATTTTCTTCCTAACCTTGAATAGCATTCACAGTATTTCTGAAGAATACGCATTTACCGGTAGATGGGACAGTTGTATACTGTCTTGTTTATTGGATTTTCATTGTTGGTAAACTATCTCACTTCTCTCTCAAGACCAAGTATGAGGAAGCTGGTTATTAATAACGTATCATATGGTCGCCAACGGTCCAACCACTTGGTTTAGTGGTTTTTCCTATGATCTCTACTGTAGAGGTTTAAGGTTGCAAAAGAAAAAAAAAGCCATATGGCGGAAATAAACAGGTTTTGAGTGTTTCATTTTGAGGTAAGACTCTAGATTGTAGATTATACAACCTCACACACACACACACACACACACACACACACACACACACACACACACACACACACACACACACACACACACACACACACACACACACACACACACACACACACACACACACACACACACACACACACACACACACACACACACACACACACACACACACACACACACACACACAACCTAATGACATAAAATTCAATCTAATCCGAGCCCAAATGAGCCCAAATCAACCAATTATAAAAAGATTTTAACACTTTATATTAACTGATAACAATAAGAAAGAAATAGAGATAAAGTTAATTATGTTTCACTTTCTCAGTTCGATAGTTTCAATAATTTCACAACATGAAATTATGTTCATACAATATGCGACAAAAGATAACCAATAGATGTTGAATCTTTCATGTAACATTTGACATGCTTTTTTGTAATTAATAGTATTATCAATAATTAGTTGAACTATACTCTATGGGCATACTTACTCAACAACCTCAGTAAATAAAGACTACAAGTTTGCAACATTCTTAGTGATATTTGAAGCATTAACTGATTTTAAAAAAGATACACCTCGCTGACATTATATAAGAAAATTGATTAAGGTTCTACTTTTACTGTGAGTCCATTCATCTGCCATGAGAATACAACCTGTTTCCTTCCAAGTATGTCTGTAGTTATCAATAAGTAATCTATACTCTTTATAATCCTTATGTAGATTAACTCTCATGTTGTGATAAGTGGGGAGCTTATAACCAAGACCTATAACAACAATGACATCTACTATTTTCTGTGCATATACTGAAGTTAAAGCATTAAATAAGATACAACAATAAAAAAAATTATCTTGTTAAAGCCATATCTGCATGCTGAACTGCTTTCTTAGATGTTAAAGCAATCTTAATTGAAGATTAGAACCTGGTTTAGTTCTAAGAGCAAAGAAAGTGTCCACATCAACAAATTTTCTTTTTTCCTTTAGCAAGTTTTGATACATTTGCTTTAGAAGATTGTGTTTTAGGTAGAGAAGAAGAATATCTTTCTTCCTCTGCAGCATCATCTACAGGAAATGATGCACTATCCAACTTCTCATGTGCTTGTGCTTTTTTCTTAAAATTTCCTTTAAGTTCTTACTTCATTTGATATCGAACATCGTATGGAACCTTTTTGCAAGCAGCTATATTTCCCTTAACTCCTGCCAAATGTTGTTTCATTCTATTTATTCCTCTTCCCTTGTATGCAATACCTCAATACAGACATTTGAACTACTTTTTTCCATTTGCTCCTCTAATTTTATTGAAATGATTCCAAGCAATGCCCACTTTCTCACATGCACTATAATTGAAAATTGAAGTCTGATTACTGAGTGCATCCATCCTAATTTGATTAACTAAAAGATATAAACAATTACCTACAATATATGCTACATAATCAATTAAGGTAGAATGAAATAGTTTCATTACAATTGAATCCAGCAATATGTTAATTAAAAATTGTAAGTACATGAAAGCATGAAACAATCATCTAAATGACTACACCTAAACAAACTAGGGAAAACCAAAAAAATTGCTAACATAACCATAATCCCCCAACCATCACCATTATCACTCAAATACAACTTTTAACTTTATCACCATTCAATGCAACAAATTTGAATTCTCGTCAACACCTATAAAATCAATTCATACCATCATCATCAACTTGCTCCCAACATCAACACTAAGATTTATATTGCACTTTTTGATTTATATTATCTTTTTTTATATATATAAATAATATGATAATTTTACAATCAAATTTTAAATGATATTAAGAATAATGATCTAAAATTTTAAACAATATATCTTTTTGACAACAAATCTTAAACAACATTAAAATTAAAACCATCATAGTCTTACAATTTAATCATCAACCAACAAGAAATGAAAAATAGAAAATTCGTAATGCAATGTTCTCTTATCTAAAGAGATCCAAAAAGCTCAAATTAGGAAAACAAAAAATGTGAGCATTTGAACATAATCAACATTAGAATCGGTTAAAACAAAATGCATTAGAAAGAAGCAGAAATCACAAGAAAATTTTTCGAACTTAGAATTAGAAACTAAACAAAATAAAATAGGAATTGTTAACTTATCCAATAAGAGATTGCAAAGTTTTGTCGGTGAGTAGTGAATGCGAGGAGAAGTGCGAGGAGAAGAAGTGAAGAACTTACAGTGGGTTGGAGAGGAGTTGAGCATGAGATGGGAGCCTTTGGTTCGGTGTGGGCTTCACGAAAGAGTGCGAGACGGCGACAAGATAGGGAGTCGAGAGGACATACGTCCAAATAGGGAAGAAAATGAATAGTAGGGTTTTTTTTTTTTCGTATAAGCTTTACTTTCTTTTATTTTAAGCTATCCGATTTTCCCTAACCGGCTCAAAACGTTTTGAATCTGAACTGCACAATTTTTTGAAACCAATATCGGTTTTGCGGTTCAGCGGTCGAACTGCTGGTTCGAACGGTCCAAATCTAGTTCATTGTGAAACCTTCTTTGAAGTAAACCGCAACAGACTGGCTGATCAATTCGTAGTTCAACAGTTCGTCCGATCCAATTTTTAAAGTATTGACAAATTAACCCTCATTATTTACATGAAAAGGGGAGGCATAAGAGAAGAACTATGAGTCTTGAAGAATTTATAAGCTCCACCTCGTTCCACGCCCGACAAATCCATGCCACCAGGTTGGCATTTCTGAATCTCCTTTGGACCATCATCGTCGGACCTCCATCAGGCATCCATTGACGAGCCTTCCTCCATTGTCGCCCGTCAACTGCGGTCCTTTCGAGCATTGTTGCTTGCCGACTATGATATATCTTACTACCATCACCCATTGACTATGTTCCCCTCTGCCTCTGTTAACCGCTGACTACGGTTCCTCCAACCTCCGTCACCTACCGACTACGATCTCTTTAACCTCCATCGCCCGCTGACTACGGTCCCTCCGACCTTCGTCGCACGCAGACTACTGTCCTTCCGACCCTTGTTGCCCGTCAATTATGATCCTTCCGACCATCATTACTCGTCGACTATGGTTCCTCCGACCACCGTCGTCTGCCTATAATCATTCTGACCATCGTCGCCCGACTATGATCCCTTCAATCACCGTCACTTAGGGGTGTCAATTTGGGTCGATGGGTCGGGTTCGGGTCAAACCCGAGTTGACCAGGATCTAAATAGGTAATCCCGAACCCGACCAGTTTTTACAAACAGGTCAGACATTTCAACCCGGACCCGACTAGTGCGGGTTGACCCGACCCTACCCAGATTTAGTAGATTTGGCTGAAGAAGCGCGAGCTGAGCTTCTGAGCCAGTCCGCGAGTGCGGGTAGCGTCGTAGTGACAACAACGATGGAATCACGTAAGGTGTTCGCGGGACTGTGTGTGACGTCCCAGGCATCTATAATGGAAGGATTCATCGACATACTTTTCTTCTTATTCTTTCTTCTCGCTCAGATTAATACATACATTCAGAAATGATAATTGCATTAAAGAAAACAAATACACAAAAATACGATAATTCACATTACGACATTTCATATTTACAATTCAAAAGTTGCGTCCAAAAGAACATGTACAATAGCTGCTCGGGCTACAAAACAATGCATGAACCAAAAACTACGAAAACTACACTAGTATCTAAAAGAAGCTTCACGCGGGAGGCTCTGCACTTGAAATCATTAACCACATATAATGAGTTTAAATAACCCAGCAGGTCACCAAAGCCAATCAAAGCACTGTACGGAAGCAATATGCATGTCAATCAGTCAAATCAATATTAGCCACTTGCACATGATCATTGAATCGATGCAGAAATATAAATTAGTACAGAGGTAGTAATGAATACAGAAATGGTAGTCAATGCACAAACAATATCAATACAAAATAGTGAAATCCTCAATCGACAGTAGAAGAATCGGTAAATAATATAAAAGTCCATAAAACTCAATGAATCAATACGTACGTCAAATCAATAAAGAAATCATCGGATCAATCATATCAGTCAGTATCAAGAGAACTTAATTCCGGTCAATAATATCAATCGGTATGGAATTATATAAAACAATCAAATCAATATATCATTAAGAATAGTTAAAATCACAACAATATAGTAAAAACATAATATATATCACATGCTCGGTGTATTACATGCAATACAGTTAATCTATATCACG